GCAAAGTCCACTCCCCTTTCGCTCCTCTTTTATTTCCTCTGGGAGGGGCCATTCACCGTCCATCTATGTCCTTCCTTCCAAGTCAACCCCTGTTCTTTAGCCGCTCCCTTCGTCTGGCAGCTCTGCGCATGCGCACACTGGGAACAGGCTCCAGCTGTTCTTCTGCCTCACTGATGTCTGACTCCGAAGGCAGCTGATAACTGTCGGACGGCCCTGGCCACACGATGCCCTCTTAGATACCAACACTGAGTTAATCTCCAGGCTGGCTGGAGTATAAGAATGGCAGGAACGGAGATACCAACTCAACAGATGCCAGGGGTGTTGTGTGTTTCCTTTCACACCATCTGCTCTGGAAAATTCTGCAGTGGAGAAATTGTTCTGTGCTCTCCTCTCTCCTGCCAGCGATGTGTCCCCGCCGCCCTCTATTCTTAGAAGCGGCGTCATGTCTGAACGCCACCTCGAGCCCGCGCCTCGCCGCGGCCGCCTTTGATAAGAGCCTCGTTGTCTGTGCCGCTAATTTCCTCCGGCAGAAACACAACGGCACAGCAAATGAGTCAGAGAAGGTTGCAAAGAGGCACCAGCGGAGGATTTGAAATAATCTCCCACGCCTGAATCACGGATCAAACCTAAACAGGATAACAGACTTGGAAGGGGCCTTGGAGGTCTTCTAGTCCAACCCCCCCTACTCAGGAAACACTGAGAATGACTACGGGACGGGTGCTCCTCGGTTTACGACCACAATTGAACCCCTGCTGCTAGGAGAGAGACGGTTAAGTGAATTTTTGCCCCATTTTACAACCGGTTGTTAAGGGAATCTGGCTTCCCCCGTTGACTTGGCTTGTGAAATGGCCGCAAAAGGGGATCGCATGATCCCAGGACACTACAACCGCAGGGGTGGGTTCCGGCAGCCCGGTTCCAGCTACCTAGGCTGACAAACCACGTCCAGTTCAGCTGAACCGGTACAAACAGGTACGAACCGGTACGAACCGGTACGAACCCACCACTGTACAACCGTCTTAAATACAGGCCAGTTTCTAAGCATCCGAATTTCAAGAAGGGAATGAATAACCATTGTATGGGCCAGGATTTGCTGCCTGGGCAGGGGGTTGGGCTAGATGACCTCCAGGGTCAATTCCAACCCTGTTATTCTTTGATTCTATATTTTGAGGGCTGCCCCCTCTTTTTTTCCCCCTCCCCTTCCCCGGAGACCGTCTCAATGCCTGATTCCAGCTGGGCTAATTATAAGGTGTCTCCCTTCAAGCGTGACACCACAATAACCCGTCACAGCCCACTGGGGAGAGCCTGTCTCCTTGGCAGTGCCAACGGTGCCAAGAGCGAAGCCCTATTGAGGTGGGTGCCACCACCGCCACCACCACCGCCCCCTCCCCAATCTTTTGTTCTCTTGCTGCTTCTCCAGCCCCGACGGAGAGAGAGAAAAGGCTGTGATTATTTCACACCGCCTCTCCCTTCTCCGTGCGGTGCCAAGGGCTGTCTGGTTGGCATCGCTGCCAACTCCGCCGTTGTTCTCCCTTGGGGCTCACACGCGTCTCTGGGGAGGACGGCTTCAAATCCGCAGCGCTGAAAACAGAGCTGACGGGGCAGGGGGGGGGAGGGGAGCTCCCCCCCCCCCCCCGTTTCCATTTTGACTGGTCCCAAAGGACAAGACAGGTTGTCCTCAACCACCCTTGAGTCCAACATTTCCGTGGCTGTTCTGGAGGCAAATTTTTCCACTGATTAATTGTTCTTGCTGTCAAGAAATTTCTCCTTCATTCCAAGTTGCTTCTCTCCTTGATTAGTTTCCACCCATTGCTTCTTGTTCTGCCCTCAGGTGCCCTGGAGAATAGCTTGACTCCCTCTTCTTTGGGGCAACCCCTGAGAGATTGGAAGATGCTTTCATGTCTCCCCTAGTCCTTCTCTTCATTAACTAGACAATGCTCTCTTCCTGCAACTGTTAACAGAACAGCA